CCCCCGCCCCCCCCCACCCATGCTGTGCTGTAAGAGAAGCTTGCACTTATAAGTAGAATCAAGGGACCTCGTCACAACCCAAGGTTGCTCCATGGTGTAAACACCAGTTTCAATGCGGACGGGCCTGGATTTCTTGCGGCACCTACCGTCTGTGTGACACTGAGTATTTCTGAGATGTACAATGAGTTCATTAGCTTCCATTGATATCACATGAGAAAATACACATGAAGTTGCTTAGCACCGTGCCTAGGCATAAAAGACACTCAAAAAGTGATAACAAACATTATTATTTAGAGAGGTTAGTGTCCTGGAAAAAGAGGGAAGAAGACCACGTAACGGAGCACCTGGGGAGAAACTGGGCCCAGAGGTAGCTCAGAGTTGTAGGACCTCCTATTACTGCCTGAGAAAGGCCCTCCCAAGGCTGAATGCTGAAGAGGCACGCACAAAACCCTGTCACCAGCTCAAAGCCTCCTTTCCTGAGGAAATTTGCTGGGAAATTGTTGAAATGGATATATAAATCTGTGATGACGACGGAAGTGAATGATGATCCCTAAAGTTGTACAGTGCACAACCTGCAAAACTGTACTGGGCATGCCAGAACTATACCCACAAGATGGCTTTCTCCTCGTTTTAGTCTCTTAAATTGCTGATGTGTTGTATTTTACGTTTCCCGGTGGGCCCCTTTAAATTCTTTCTAGGTCAAGGCAGGGAACCCATGTCAATACGTTATAAGACCTGAAGAAGTTGAAAGGTAGGATATACCAAAAGGCACAGAATCCACGCTGAAGGAAGGACTGGTCAGCCCCTGTCTTCCCTCCCACTTCCAGTCCACTGCATCTTCCTGTGATGGCACAAAGTATCTGTACATCAAGACATACTGCAGCAGACGTGAGTGGTCCCAAGGGGGCTAAATGCCTTGTAACTACCATTCAGGAGGAAATTAGCTCCTTCTTTATGCATTTGTTTAGCTAACATCTGAAACGTACTACCCCTCGACGTTGGCTTCGATTGCAGATACAACCATGTTTGAGAAAGGTTGGTTTCAGGCTTGTCGGGGAAGCAGACGGCTGCGACCCGGAGTCAGGAGAAGGTGACACCAGCCGTGTTCCGCCAAGTGTCTCCTTACCCTTTATTATTTCCACTTTCTTCCGATCCGCCTGCCGGCCCTCCGCGGTTTGGCTGGACTTGGGGCCACATCCAGGGCTTCCCCCCGACCCACCTGAACGTCATCTCAACGGGGACAGGGACAGGGACGTGGTCGGTGGCTGACTGTGGGGGCGCAGCCAGCCTTGGGGGCAAACAGCGCAGGCTCGGGCACGTGACAGGGGGAGGCAGTCGACCTCGTGGGGTGTCGAGCGGCTGTGGGTGGGGTGGCTGCAGGCGGTGGGAGCAGCGGAGAATTCCTGCAGGAGGTCACGTGCTGGGGTCCTATCGGGAGCGAATCCCTTAGCCACAGGGAAGCGGAGGCTGGGAAATAGGACTTCTGGGGTGGACACCAGCATAGGGGAATCGGGAAAAAGCTCCCCAAGTCTGAGAAGGGGGGCACTGTCCTGGCACCAGAGGTTAGAGCGAATCAGGATCCGGTTCCGCTGCAACCCGGCAGTTTATGCAGCGAGACCTGGGCAGGGAAGACAGATGCGGCACCTGCTGGTTTGGGGCGGGGCCGGGAAGCCAGGGCTTAATTCCGGAAACAAGGTCAAGCCGAGGGACTGAAAGCACGTGATGGGAGGACGTGATACTGTGCTCAGTAGGTTTTGGACTACTTTGCTCTAGTCACCTCCCAGACGACCCCCGAGACCCCCGGGGCTGAGGTGGTCTCCCCTGTGGAGATGGAGGGGGCTCTGGCCACGTCCCTCTGTCCTGAGCCCAGGCCCTTCTCCGCCCCGACTGGGGTCACAACTGGGGGCGGGTCCTGACCAGCTCCTCTCGCCTCTGCTGGCCTGATGATTCTGGACACTAACTGCAGCTCATCTCACCAGAGAGCTCAGGAGAAACAGGCCAGGTCTCTGCCCTTGGCAGTTTAGGCAAATCCAAGGGCTCCGTGATGTGCAATTAAAGAGAAGCCGGGCATTTCTGGGAGCATTTGCCTTCCACGTTTCTGTGAGTATTAGCAGCGTTCTCTTAGGATGGCCTCACCCTGCTGCTGCCAGTTTTCATACCCAGTTAGCGACGGAGGAGCTAATGCTCCCAACTGCTTTCTCTTTTCATATCCTCCGCCTCCTTCCAGAAGCCCCCTCCCCTCCCCACTCCTACCCCAGGGCCCGAACTCGGAACTCCGTCCCTTCCCTTCATCCTCTTTGTTTTTCATGTACTATTTACATGCACTCTGTGCATTTTGAAATCGTGGGTTGTAACTTCTTACCTCCTATACAATTTGCCACTTTGTTCTCTCAGTCACTCCTTCGTAAGAATTTGCTGAGAGCCTGTTTCACAGGGCGCTTGTATCACAGGCTCTGGGGTCAGAATATACACGCTAATTAAAGTTCCCCACTCCCATCCACTTACTTCCCGGGTAAGAACTTTATGCCTCCAATAAAGACTTTTCCTCCTGTTTAAAGACAGCTTTTTACAGATTTTCGAATGCCTTCAACCTTTTAAACCTCTGCACCTGATAAAATTAAGGCTTTAAAGAGCTTACTTTTTCAATAAATCTTTGGTTTGAGGGTTGATAAAACAGAGAAGCAACTGAAAAGAAAAAAGAAATCTCGATCTAACACTAAAGCCTTTCCGTCCTGCAAGGTGGAATCCTTTGACCTAGATCTGTCTCTTCAAAGGCACGTGACAGTAAGAAATTCTAGGTTTTTCTTAGACTTCTAAGAGAACTGGTAAATATTGATCTAAAACGTTAGGTTCATTAGCCAACTTTTATTTGATTTTCCTGAAAATCTGCCAGACAGAAAGTTCTCACTCTTACCCGCCTTCATTGGTATCCCCGGAGCAGTTTTCTCCACAGCAACCGAAAACGTCTCTGGGTTGAAATAATCCTCTCCTGCTTCCAATGCACAGTCAAGGAATTTTAAAACCAGAGGACTTTGTAATCACAAAATACTCTCCGAGATTTAGAAGGCCACAGAGCTCCAGAGAAATAGCCATTTATCTTTCTTCTAACGGTAAGCACTGCGTTTAGAAATGTTTGTAGCATCTTCTATCGTTTTTTAATGCTAACATAAGAATCTTAAACTCTCTCTCTCTTTTTTTTTTAAATCGTGGAAGTAATCCCAGTATCTTTGTTACTACCCCACAGTCATTATTAGGTCATTTCTGGGCCAAGATCTGACATGAGATGCTGTTAACAATTTGTGTTCCTTAAGCAACAGATTGAAGAGATTAAATTTTTTTTTTTTTTTTTTCAGAAAGTTGATTGGCTCTAACATTGTCCTTTATGCCTTTAGTGACCACTGAGTCTGTGGATTTATTGTGGCTCTTGCGGTCTTGAAACACTCTTGTTTTTCTGCTAGCTCGTACTTTTAATAAATTAAAAACTGGAAAATGACCAGTGTTTTCTGGACGTGACAGTTTTCTTCCATAGTACCTAAAACCTTCTCACTCAGCATGATGTACGTCATTTGTTGAAATTTATTTTCTCAGGCACACCTGGGTGGCTCAGTCGGTGAAGCATCCGCCTTCGGCTCAGGTCATGATCTTACGGTTCGTGGGTTCAAACCCCGGTCGGGCTCTGTGCTGACAGCTCAGAGCCTGGAGCCTGCTTCAGATTCTGTCTCTCTCTCTCTCTCTCTCTGCCCCTTCCTAGTTCGCACTCTGTCTCTCTCTGTCTCTCAAAAGTAAACATTTAAACAACTTAAAAAATAGTAAGAATAAAAAGAAATTGATTTTCTCTTTATTTTTATTTGTTTACTCGAGTGATGAGAACCACACCTCACAGAGTTCTACATTAGGATGGGATAAAATGAGGGTATTTCCTGTCTGGTTCCTATGACTTGTACCCCGTGCAAGATAAACAGAGAAACTTACCCTTCCTGACTTTTTTATTCTTTTTTATTTTAGAAGGAGGCAGTGTGACAAACTTCTTGGATGTTCTACAGTTCAAAAGTCTCCAGCCATGATAGTTTCCTGCTGTTCGCAGTTATAAATGACCTACAGACCCCCTACTGTTCAGAAACAGCTTGCCATTGCAAATCAGCTTAGCCACCCAATTAATGAATCCTTTCAAACACGTTGCAGCCACGGTAATTAAGGCCTTTATTTTCCCCCTTTACCACAGAAATTCCTCCCATTACAAGTTTACACCGTGAACGGCAAGCCACCCAACTCCCTTAGACACTGACTTGAGGTAAAGGAAGAGTGGAAATGTGCTTCTGGACAAAGCTTCCGGTATTTTGGGTGCCATTGTTCCTTCTCCTCAGCCTTGTTCCCTCTACTGAGACAGAAAGACCCTCAACCCAGGACAGCGGCAGCACTTGGAGTCCAGGCCACCTGACGGAAGTGCTACGAGCTCTCTCTGCTGGCGATCCCCCACCCCTGAACCATTCTGGAAGCCTCCTCAAAACACTGATGGAGAAAACTGGCTGCCCACGGAGGACAAACGGAATGCAAGGAGATTGCCATCTGGTTAGTGTGACAGAATGGGATCAGGTACCAGGGAACGTTCAAGAAAGAGCAGTGGCTTCTCTAGCCGTTTGCTTCAGTAAGGCAAACTCAAATGCAGTACCCAAGTGGGCTGTGCCTCGTGATGTCATGTCTCCCATATTTAGGATACGGAAAGTCATTTAGCGTTCTACAAATAGTACTTGAAAACAGGGAGGATCTTGTTGTAGCAAAATGGTAATGTTTGTAGAAGCCTTTCTACGACACTTGTGCATGTTCAGAGGTATTTAGTTATAAGTGTGAACTTTTTTTTTTTTTAATTTTTTTAACGTTTATTTATTTTTGAGACAGAGAGAGACAGTGCATGAACGGGGGAGGGTCAGAGAGAGGGAGACACAGAGTCTGAAACAGGCTCCAGGCTCTGAGCTGTCAGCACAGAGCCCGACAAGGGGCTCGAACTCACGGACCGCGAGATCGTGACCTGAGCCGAAGTCGGCCGCTCAACCGACTGAGCCACCCAAGCGCCCCTGTAAGTGTGAACTTTCTAAGAGAGAGAAAGAGTCCGTGCGTGCACAAACTGGGGGGGGGGGGGGGGGGGGTGCCCGAGGAGGGGAGAGAGAGAGAGAGAGAGGGAAAGAGAGCAAGGAAGAATCTTAAGCAGGCTCCATGCTTAGTGCGGAGCCCAGTGTGGGGCTTGATCCCACAACCCTGGGATCATGACCTGAGCCAAAATCAAGAGTTGGACACTTGACCGACAGAGCCACCCAGGTGCCCCACAAGCATGAACTTTCAGTTCTTTCTTCTTTCTGATTCACTAATCTCCCCCCGCCCTTTTCTTTTGTGGTTGCCATGAACTTGTGCGTCACTGGTTAGATACGATTTGTTTTTGATGGCATGATGATAGTACTATTATATTTGTCTAATGTTGAATTTTTTAAGTTTACTGATTTATTTTAAGAGAGAGAGCATGCATATGTATGAGCAGGGGAGGGGCGTAGGGAGATGAGGGCGGGGGAGAGAATGCCAAGCAGGCTCCACGCTCCACACTGAATCTATCTGGGGACTCGATCCCACCACCGTAGGGTTATGACCCAAGCCATAGTCAAGAGTCAGATGCTCAACCAACTGTGCCACCCAAGCACCCTTAATGTCGAATTTTTAAGTACTTTAGCCTGATTGTTGATTGGTGTTTTCTAGTATTTTGCATGGTGGGCAGTTAATGAATTGGGTAATCACCCTCTTAAAAATGAGGTATCCGGGCTAAAATGAGGTCTGTGGCTCCTACGGCCTGGGCCCACAGCCTACCCCCGGTTTGCCAGGCGACTCTTACGCCCTGGCTGCACCTCAGCATTGTCTGGGCAGCTCTCACCAAATACTATGTGGAGACTTCTTCCTCCATAGATGAGGTTGAATTGACTTGCCTGGGATGGAATTTAAAAAAAAAATTTGCTGCAGGTCACATGAATGTAACATCCACATTAATGTAAATTCAGCATTTAAGGTAGAATCAGAATGTCTCTGTCAGGGTAGGGGAATTGACAGGAGCCTCACCAGAGGTAGGAGCTCATGTCTTAATTATACCCAAAAATAGACAAAAACACTCTTCACCATCCGTTTCCTGACTGGTGAGATTTTTTTTTTTCCAGAATGAACCTACAAATAAATAAATGAAGACATGAATGAATGAATGAATGAATGAATAAATAAATAAATAAATAAATCTAGTAACTGCCTCCAGCAAAAAAATTTTGGCAGACTTTCTCAATCGTGCTTAGTTTTAGGGAAAACATTTCCTGGCCAAGTGTTTTTGTTTTTTGTGTTTTTTGTTTTTTTATTTTTTTGTTTTTTGGGTTTTTCTTTCTTTCATGACAGAAGGGTCTGCTAATAGAATTTGTCTCTGCTCTGTGCAAACAGTGAATAATTCAATAATTAGTGAAATTCCCAAGGGTCCCCAGAGCAAACATGTGTTATAATAGGCAACTCATCCGTGATGACATTAATTTATATATATAGCAACATTAAGACTTCCCCATGGAAATAAGTAGGAGTCATGTCTTATTAATGTCCTCTGAGAATGTGCTGTGGGGAAATGTTCTCCTCTAATGACATAAAGTGCCTTATTAAGGCTGTTTGAATATTAGTCAAGCTAGGGGGAATGTAAACATGCAAAATTGTTCTATGTTTTGTTTTGTTTTGTTTTTCAGAGGGAGACACTGTTTTGCACTTTTTGTTTTCTGTGACATTATCGAGACTTTGGCCAATTTCGCTTCCGTTTCAGCTATTTTTATTCCTATGAAGTGAAACACAGTCTTTAATAGCTTCGCCCTCTTGCTGCTGCTATTTCTTTGTGTAAAGGACTGAGGTAAAAAAAAAAAAAAAGTCATGGGGTGGCCTGGGTGGCTCAGTCAGTTAAGTGTCTGACTCTTGATTTCAGTTCAGGTCATGATCTCACGGTTCACGCGTTTGAGCCCCGCCTCGGGCTCTGTGCTGGCAGTGCTGAGCCTGCTTGGGATACTCTCTCTCCTCTCTCTCTCTGGCCCCCCTTTCAAAATAAATAATAAACCTTAAAAAAAAAAATGCAAATTTCAGCTTTACTTGCTCAGAGGGCTACAATTCACCTGAATCACCCATAGGCAAGGATTCCATGAAATCTCTCCATGTCATTCATAAAAAGCCGGGGAGAAACAGTGTCCTATTGTTTTCACAAGCATCTGCATTCTGGCACAAGCCTTGTTGTTGGATCTTTTGTGTCTTTTTAGGAACTTCGTCCAGTTACAGGCAGGGTTTAGATTGGAAATTCTGTGGTAAAAAGAGGGCAAGGGGATGAGTTCACATCCCTAAATGTCTGAAAAAAAGAGGGAAGTGAGTGTCTTAAATTTGTGGGGGGGAGACAAAAAGTTTCCAATTTTATTTCAGGCTTAGGTAAAAACTGAATGGGTGTGTGTGTGTGTGTGTGTGTGTGTGTGTGTAAATCAATCTGAACTATCTGAAAGCACTGTGCACTTAAATCCATTCAAACTTCAGCCTTTGAAAATGGACAGTCTTGCCTGATCGTGGCCTGGTTTCTTTTTTTCAATGAGAAGGGTTAGACTGCAGTTTTAATGAATTTAATGAGGGATTAAGTAACTCTAGGAGAACAAATTCCACTTCAGTAATGATGAGAACCATAACCCTACATGAGTTCCAGAGGCGGTGAAGGGATAAGAACCTGGTATCTGGAGTCAGCCAGCCCTGGGCCCAAATCCTTGTTCTGGCACTTTCCAGCTGTTAGGTCATGCTGAACCTCCGCTTTCTCATCTGTAAGACCAAAGTGCCGGTCCTCTCCTCGGGGAGCTCTCTGTGAGGACCGCAGGGCCATATGTGAGCTAGCTGGGTCACGAGAGCGCCAGCTCTCTCTGTGCCCTCACATTTCCTGTATGTTATGGACATGTCCAACGCAGCGCTTCTGGGAAATAAGATCCTCCTCAGCACCCCCTCCTGTCCCCTCTCCCCCACCCCTCCCCCAGCTGTTCAGGGCTTGGGGTGTTTATTCAAGACCTCCAGGAGATTCTCAGACACATTCAAGGTAGAGAACCACTGCTTTAAGGTCCTGCATTTAATTCAACCTTCCTCCCACGTTTGTCTTAACCTGCCGTGCGTTGAAGAGTGGACAGCATCGAGCTTTATCTTAACTTGTTGATCTAACAGGTTTCTTAACCCTTCTCAGTAAGACTTATCTCTCTGTCAGTCAGAAATGCCACAAAATCTGGTCATGGGTCCACAAAAAGCCAGTGCCTGCCATCAGCAAACACCCGTCCAACTCTTTGGCAGGAAAAGGAAGAAATATAATTTCCTTTTTATGATCAATTCTAAGACAACCCTCTCCCCCAGAAGACCTTGTAAAAGCCAGTGGGCTTATCCAGAACCCCAAATCAACTTTAAGCATCTTTGGATCTAAAAATTTTAAAGTTTATCAAGTCTGACAACTCCTATTAACATAGAAGAAAGATTTCCTGTTGCTTTTTGTTACCGAGACTCTCTCCTCGCATAAGCAATGAACAAAGCTGAATGCAGCAGCTGGGGGAGGTGATCTGATTTGGCTATTGGAATCCAGAATCTGTGCTTTTCTCCCCAAAAAACTTAGGCCCCCACATGACAAGATTAAAAGGAAAATCGACGGATTATTCCTGAATGAGTCCATTCTTCTTTAACAAAGAATCACTTCACCAGGGTCAGTGCTTTGGATGGGTCTTGATGCCTATGAGGTGTAAGTATTTGCAAAATTGGACTAAACGTCCTCCCCCCAAAACAACCCAGCCACTGCTAACAGCTCTAACAACTGAAACAAATCTTGTGATGATGAACCGGAAAGTCCAGTCCACCATCAACCCCCATGGTGCTTTTTGTCATGTCAATGTCTGTTCGATTTTCTGGTGTTTCCTACAGTGTTCTTTCCTCAAGCCACTGTCTTCCGTACAAAGGTAACTCCTTTAAGAATCAGATGTCTCGGGGGCACCTTAGTGACTCAGGCGGTTGAGCAACCGACTTCGGCTCAGGTCATGATCTCATGGTTTGTGAGTTCAAGCCCCACATCAGGCTCGCTGCTGTTAGCACGGAGCCCGCTTCAGGTCCTCTATCCCCTTCTCTCTCTGCTCCTCCCCCACTTGTGTGCTCTCAAAAATAAATACACGTTTAAAAGAAGAATCAAATATCATAAAAGGGCAGAAGGTTTTCAATTTATGGTCATTTGATTCGCAATTGAGCTTTATTCCAGCATGTCTCAGAAACTTAAAGCAAAGTTTGGGCAACCTCTGTTCATTCAAGATGACTGAAATCTCTAGTCAGACAAAATGAGATGCTCCACAGGTATTTAAAACATTTTCAGTCAAAAGCAATTGACCTTCCATGTTATATGCTTTTTAGAAACCACTTCTGGAGCGAACATTGGTATGATTTCAGATCTTACCCTCTCCTCTGCTGCCCCAGGCCACATCCCTCCTATTCCAATCCTAGAAAGGTACATTGAAGAGGAACCACAAATGGACAGGAGTGTGAGGCACATCAGATGGGTGAAGTGTAGCCATATACTCTGCTGTGTGCTATCAACCAAGCTCCGGCCACATGTATCTGGTCTGGTGGCTTCACGGAGGTCCCATTTCTCGTGTCACTGATACCCTTTTGCCTCATCAACCTCATCAAACAGCCTAAATGGCATTTGAAAGTCTGTCAACAGGAACTCATTCAATCTTCAAGTGGTACTATGTTCTCTCATTGATTTATATTAGAGCCTTACCAATTACTTGGCCTCCCCATTGACCTCTTTTTCTATCAAACAGGAGGGAGAGAAAATTACTGGTTGGAGGGGTTGTACTTTCAGAACATAGGTGGGTCTACAGCTCAAATTCTTCATGGCCCAAAACAAAGAGATAAGCAAATAAAGCAAATCATTGGCATAGTGGGAATTAAGATTGGGCAACCACTATTAGCTTTGTGATTTTAGCTACATTATCTACCCTTTTGTAGACTTGGTTTTCACATATGCTATAGGTATACCTTCCTTGTAGAAGGAGGACATACCTCATACTGGATCCTGTGCACACAAATGTACCCACTGTTTAATTCACGAGGCACCAAATAATTGAGGAATTGGTACTCTAATTCTTTACATCATTGCAGAAATAGTTGGTGACTTATCACATAGGCTGGGGCCATTTTGTTTTCTATTTAAAATTTTGGAATCATGTTCTTACCATCAAAAAACTCATTATCTGACTTTTTCCAGAAGCGATTAGATTGAGGAATGCCCAAATACATAAGGCACTTAGCACAATCCTGGGCACCTGGCTTCCAGTAAAGGCTAGCTAATGCTATCAATAGTTCGGTTTCAGGAGGCGGTATGTTACAAAGAGAGGCTTGATGACACTATGTTTCAGTTGACTAACCTCCTTGAGTCTTGGTGTCAGCCCCGCCAATAGCTACCAACCCATGGACTTTTCTCGTCTGCTACTCAAGAAACAGAAATGTGCTGGGGTGGTTTCAGTGGTGGAGCTTAATAGTCACATTGAGTGACTTGATGGGAAGCCGATGTCTCTCTTTTTGCCGAACTCTTACCCCATCGCAGTTGAGTTGGGGAGAGAACAGAACCTGTATGGCTTGTGAAGAATGTGATTAATGCTTTGCTTTGGAGACAGATGACATGTTTCTTCCTGACTCAGACGGTATGTCCCAGATGTTATCTGGTGGGACACACAGCATACATGGAATTAGGACGCCTGAAATTTCCACCTCAGAGAATAGATGAAAAGATACCATCGTACATTGTCCCACATTGGGAAGAGTCCTTCTGGGGCTCAGGACAGGCATCCCTCCATGCCTTCATTCTGTGGCTGTGCCTCTGGGATCCTGGGAGAGTTGTCAGGAGCTCCCCACTGTCTCTGAAGGAAGGCAGCTCCTGTCTTGTGGGGAGGGCTTCCCTTAAATAGCCCTGTCTGTATCTTTTTCTCATCGTCCCGTTACGTTACCCGAAACACCTTCTGCCATGCAGACTTCCCAGATTAGATGAGCCAGACGTCTTGCTGTGGGTGTGAAGCAAGTAAAGCGTGGTGGAAATATTTTTTAGCCGTTCTCTTAGGTAGGATAAAGGCGAGGCAGGTGGTGTTCATTCGTTCCATTCCGCGCCTTGTAAGTGCCAGGCATTGTGCCGGATGCTGAGGATAGAACCGTGCACGGACAGAACCTGGCCTTAATGGACCACTCGTTCTCGAAGGAAGAGCGAAAATAAACACGGGGAGAAAGCAAGTTTAGAACACTAGTGCTATGGAGAAAATAAACGTGATATATGTTAGAGCTGCCACCAGCCACGTGTGACCGTGGGCCACTTGATAACGTGGCTCGTCTGAATCGACACGTGCTGGTAAGTGTAAAGTACGCACCAGAGTTTGAAGACTTGGCATGACGAAAAGAATGTCAAATGGCTCACAAATAACTTCTTAAAATTGTGATTACAAGTTGAAGTGATCATATCTTGCATATCTAGGTTTCAGTAAGACACATTACTAAATGTATTATTAAAATTAATTTCGCTTTTTCAAATGTGGCCACTAGAAAATTTAAAGTGATGTGTGACTCGCCTCTGTGGCGAGGGTTGTGTTTCCATCGAACAGTGCTGTGCTGGAGAACGTGGGACGGGGGAGTCGGGGCTTTCTACTTTGGGTAGGGTGTGGATCCTCAACAGCGTATCTCTTTAAGCTGAGATCGGAGAATTGAGGAGGAAGGAGACCCGAGAGATGGTGGAAAGAGCTTGGTGGAACTGATGGAAAATCACAGGGGCGGAAGGTTAGTGAGCGATGTGGAGAAAGGCTAAGGTAAGACAAGAGAGGTAGGCAGGCAAGAGCCAGACCAAAGAGAAAATTGTATGGAGCTTAGATTTCAATCTAAATGCAATGGGGTCATTACCTTAAACGCCAAAGAGCCAACGGGTTTTACTCAAGGCAGCAGATGGACATCTGGAGAGAGAGAGATTACTCTCAGGGAGTAAGGGCTCCCCGGGAGGGCAACATCAATGTGCAGAAGTCTAGCCACGACTACCTTATTTGAAGCTGGCTGTTAGACCTACCTGTATTCCCCCCCTATTCATACAATAATGAGCACTGGAGATCTGGCGGTCGTTAGTGTTCTAGGACTCTTTGCTAAACTTTGTTTCTACTTTTGTTGTTTTATGTTTTGTTTTTGGCACAGTGCTTTGAGCCAGATGCCCTGTTGCTAATAGCTGGAGGAGATTTTGAGGATCAGCTCAGAGAAGAAGTGGTCCAGAGAGTGTCTGTTCTCCTCCTCTTTTACATTATTCATCAGGAAGAGATCTGTTCTTCTAAGCTCAACATGAGTAATAAAGAGTATAAATTTTACCTGCACAGCCTCCTCAGCCTCAGGCAGGATGAAGACTCCTATTTCCTTTCACAGAATGAGACGGAAGATATCTTGGCGTTCACCAGGCAATACTTTGACACCTCTCGAAGTCAGGTAAGAAGGGCACAGGTCAGGTAAGAAGGGCACCTGGCTGTGCTGCTAAGAGACAGACTTGGAGCCCTGTTTTCTGTCACTTGTTTATCCCCATGACAGTCAAGGACGTCTAAGAGAGGTATTTGTGGGTTTCAGTGATGGGATGTTAAGTGACATCATCTGAAATTCTGAGTATAAAAGGGGGAAGGGTGATGACTAATGACTGTAAAAGGGGTTCTAGCCAGAAGGCAGGTGGGTGGTTGGGTGGGCAGGAAAGCCAGGTGACAGGACAACTCTTTTCCTGAACGTGAAAGTGAGTGATTCATGGCTTCCGATCGATCTCCAAGAACTGACCCACGGTGGGGAGGACGCGATGCTCTTTGCCTCGCCTTCCGGCCAGGGAAAAAGAAGACAGAACCGGTGTGAGAGAGGTGAATTTATCATTCGTTGCTTCACCGAAGAAGCAGCTTGCAAAAAGCATTATTCGTGACAGTCAGCACAGACAATAGCTCTTCTGTAGCTTTTGATTTGTGCCACACGTATTCAGGGGTCTCTCGAAGTGCTTTGCTTTCCTCGTGGCTCCCACTGTGAGGAACCAGGCACCTGGTCTCTTCCAGCCTTCGTTACTGTTCCAGCAAGAGCTGGCCTTTCAATTACCTTTATGCTTTCTGCCTTGCGGTGGGGAGTTTGAGCAGATAAAGCGCTCTGGTCGTAGGAAAAATTTTAAAGCCACATTTTCTTAAAGAATTGATTGAACAGTCACCAGTGCATTTTGAAGAGTGCCATGAAACCTGTTTTATTTTTCTCTCTTGAATTTTTCATTGACGTGTGTCTTTGAGCTGCTGTAACAAAAATACCACAGACTGAGTGGCTTCTACACAACAGAAATTTATTTCTCATGGTTCCGGAGGCTGGAAGTCTGAGATCAAAGTACTGGGCAGATTTGATATCTGGTGAAAGCCCCCATCCTGATTCCTCAGAGACTATCACCTCACTGCATCCTCAGATGGCAGAAGGGGCAGGGGAGCTCTCTGAGGTCTCTCTCCTAAGGGCACTAATCCCATTCCTGAGGACTTCACCCTCATGACCCAATCACCTCCCAAAGGCCCCGCCTCCTAACACTATCACAGTAAGTGGCAGGATTTCAACATTTGAAAGTTGGGGGAACGCAGTCATTCAGTCCGTAGTGATGTATATGGACGTATTTGGTTTTTGGCCTCAATTCTGGCTTCCAGGAGCCCAAAGGCGTCTGTGCATTCATGCTGTGGCTCAACGACCAGCCGACATATCCTCCAACTTACTGTAAAAATGTTTAATTTCTCTTGCAATTGGCACACAGATGGAAAGACTGTTTCCTGAGGTCTTTGTGGGCATCATTTTGGTAACTCTCATCTCATGACTCTCCAAATAAGGCCATATTTTTGTGTCCACTTCCAACTGAGAAAACGGGTTCCTTTCTAGAATTCGGTTTCTGCTTCAATAAGGAAGTACGCCCACATACAGTTTCTTCAGTGCAACATCCATATGATACAAGATCGGTTCAGGTCAGCCACTTCGAAGCAGATGGTGTGTATATATTCGACGCAGATTTCTGGTTATCCAACACAGGCCGCAAATACCTGGGCCTCCAAGCGTATGTGAGAGCCAACATTCCGAGAACAGAATAAAATAATTCAAGATTATGTGTAGACGTACTTTTTCCGCCTCTTCAGTCAAGAAGAATTAAGAGCTCGTAACTGTTGCTGGGCCTCAGACGGTTATCTTCTGGAGGAGAGCACTGTCTCCAGTTCCTGGGAAGGGTCCTTTGTTCGCTTGGGCTGGAATTCCCTTAGGAATCCTTAGTCACTCGATCCAGACTTGTACAGGAGGCCTGTGGGCATCTCACCGGAGCATGCCGCTCTCTCCGACTAGAGAGCGTGAGGCCACAGACGGTGCTGGCAGACCAGGCCCGCCATTACCAGCAGCTCCAGGTCTTGGTCTGCACAGGACTCAGCCTCTGCAGGTGAAGCCACTTACAGCCACTCCAGGGGGGCCTTAACCAGCTCACCAAGAAACAGCTTTACCCCGTAGTACGCTAACGTAGCCACCCTCCCTGATGGCCCAGAGTATAAACATCCCTCTATTCCTTCATTCTCTTTTATCCAACTACTATTTTATCTTCTTGGCTCAGTCTCTTGCTCCCACCTCTCCCTGTTTCTCCCCCCACTGTTTGCTGTTTCCATGGGAGATAAGCAGGGATCTCTACAGACTTCTCTGCTAGCCCTGACTCTTACGTGGAGGAATAATGGGTTGGTATCACCATTATACAGTTGACAAACCCAGACACCTGAGCCATTTTTAACTCGTTGGACTCCTTCACATTTTCCTACAAGTCCTTTGTAATGTGCCTCAAATACGTCCGTTTCTTTCCATCTCTGGTGCTACCCTCTTAGGTCGAGAAGTATCTTGGACTAATAAATAACTCCCGAACTAGACATTCAGCCCTTAGTTTCTATCCCTGGCAATGTCTTCACTACTTTGCCACCAGAGTGATATTTCTAGAACATACCATATTGTATTGTTCTTTTGTTTATAGCATTAGTGGCTCCTCTGGAGCCTTTAGGGAAAAGTTTTCGTGATGGCTCTTGCTACCTTCTCTAGCCTCCTGTCTATCAGGTACACCGATGGACACTGGGACCAACAAGAATAGTAGCTAAGATTCGCCGACCGTGTTCCGTGCACCAGCTACCATATTAAGTATTTTACACACATGAGCTAATCTTAATAACCTTTGTGGTAGGCAGCATTGTCCCTTTTTACTGATAAGAATATGAGAGTGAGCAAAGTTAATCATTTGGCCCAAGTTTGCTCAGTTACAAACAGCAGAGATAATTATAAAACCTAATCTGTCTGCCCCAAGCACGATGCTACGGAACTCACTTTGATGATAGGAAAGGCCCATCAGCAGCTTGGATTTCCGTTTATTTCTCTACACAAAAGGAAGGGTATTTAAGAGCATAGGCTATGGAGTCAGATCTGAGTGCACATTGGGACTCTACCTGTCACTGGCCAGGTGGTCTGGGAAAAGGGTATCCTGTGCACAGAGCTCTGGGACAATGGAAAGAGAACATAGTGTCATGGACCTAGCATGGCGTCTGGCACACAGTAGGTACTCAGTAAATGTTGGTGTGGCGACGAGGCAAAAATAGGGACTCGGTCCGTTTCAGCCATGATGATGATATTATGGATGTAAAGCCAAGGGAGAGATTTTTATAAATGGGCATACTAGGGGCACGTAAGGCTAGAGTCTAGCCTTTCAGATGCTCATAATTTAATTGAAGACCACTCAGTGTACACATGGAAAAGATCCCATGTCCTATGGGAGTTCAAAGAACACAGAAACTGTGCCAGTTTTGGCCATCACTTAGCACGCATTGAGCCTGAGACTAAAGGCAGGCGTTGAAAAGGAAGTGTTCTGTGATGACACGAGGCCGCAGGGCCGGTGTGAAGTCAAGGTCAGGAGTAGAGATTTGAAAGTCCTTACACTGTGGGCTGGACTTGAAGCTGGAGAAAAACAAGTCACCACCTGGAAGCCTGTGAACAAGAAGAGCGAGAGATCTCTTTGGAGAAGACACTCTCTGAGGGAATAGTGAGAAAGGTTAGGTAACCGAGGACCACTAGGGTGGGAGTTAGAAAATACAGTGTCCGGGCAGATAAAAGAAACAAGCATTTTCCAGACAGAATTCTGTCTGAGACTAGAGAATGTTGATAGTTGTGTTCCTACAAACAGCTCAGACCTCTTTAAGGTGAAAAACTCTTCTTTGTCTTTTGGGGAAATCCTAGAGATATTTTAATCAAAATGGCTTTCGAGGTGCAAGCTTTTTCTTTTTACTATGCATCTGATTTCAGTGTATGGACACCAAAATGCTGCAGAAAAAGTCTGGAATACTGAGCGGGGATGGCGCTGATGAAAACACACTCCCTCGGTTGGCAGCGACGATCATCACTTTGTCCCTCCAAGGTGTTTGTCTGGGGCAAAGAACCTTGCCGTCTCCAGACTATTTTACGGAATATATTTTCAGTTTTTTGAATAGTACAAATACTCTCCACCTGTCAGGTAAGGATGCTTTTCATGAATGTAACTACCAAGTCATGCCTACTAAACAAATTGTGCCAAAAAGAGTGACGCTTTTTGATGACTAAATTTATTCAGGTATGTTCTAAACACTATTTTATCATAGCCTGTGGTAAGACAGCTCAGGTGGCCCTTTTAAGGCAAACATGCTATCATATCTTTGTGGCGATGAGGCAACAATTGGGACTCGGTCCGTTTCAGCCATGATGATGATATTAGGGACGTAGAGCCAAGGCAGAGATTTTTATGACCTGCCGTAAGTGCTGAGGAACGCTTGTCTGTTTGGTACGTAGTCCTGGGCGAGGGGTCACAAACTGTTGCCTAGAATGAAGACATGGAAAGCCCAATGGTGCAAGAGCCTTGGTGGTGTTTGCTTGTAGCCATAAAGATCTATTACTTAATTTTAAATAAAAGTCGTGTGAGCTCTCCATCCTGGTTATATTAGTGACTGCCAGCTTTTTGGAACTCCGAGAAGAAATGGGATGCCAGGGATGGAGCCAGAATGTTTGTTTTGCACATTTCTTTGTACTCGACAAGGCATTAAAAATGAAATGACGTTTAAAAAATCTGTACCAGGAGGCCCTGTTTTGCACACCAAGGGCTCTCGGAATGTCGCATAATAGCTGTTGCTGCTGCCAACACACTTCCTCTTGGGAAGTCACAAGAAAAAGGGAGATGTGAATTTACCAAGGGACCAACAACACCCGTGATCTGGGTAAACCTCCCAACTCTGAGAGAAGGGATTGCGGTCTGGGGCCATACATTCAGTGTTGAACTTTCCCTGGACCTGTTAGCACAACCGTTTGAAGGACAGATGCAGGTTTCTGCAGTTTATTTTCTTTTCCTGTGAAAAGTTGAAATGTAATTAAATCATGTTACCTGGCTGCCATACACAGGAAACAAGCCAGGGAAAGGCATGTTATGCCGAGAACAATTTTGAGGTGGGAAACAGGGGTTGGGACATTTTAGCGGTGCGATTCCCGTTGCAACTGGAGGAGAGCCGTGACTCCACTTTCCAAATAATGTCAAGATGTAGGCCACTTGAAGGCTGCATCGCCCCCAAGAAATGGGAGGTGATCAGACTGCAATACAGAATATAGTTAGAGGCAAGCTGGGTAGATATGGATCATTGTGGACCTTCATTAAAATGCCCAAGTAACTGCTCACGAGCGATCTACAGTATCGCCTCTTGGGGCAAAAACCAGTCACTTTTGCATCTGAGAAGTCACAATTCCGTTTCCAAGTGCCATTTCGTGTCAGCACAATTAGGTGTTTGTTTCAGAAGCCATGAGACATTTTCTCTCACAGCTGCCCCGAGCTAGGGCTCTGCTGATATTGATGGTATCATGACAGACAGTATGCTCATTTTAAGTGTTGTTTTCATTTAAAACTAGTAGAGTTGGGGCGCCTGGGTGGCGCAGTCGGTTAAGCGTCCGACTTCAGCCAGGTCACGATCTCGCGCTCCGTGAGTTCGAGCCCCGCGTCGGGCTCTGGGCTGATGGCTCAGAGCCTGGAGCCTGTTTCCAATTCTGTGTCTCCCTCTCTCTCTGCCCCTCGCCCGTTCATGCTCTCTCTCTGTCTCAAAAATAAATAAACGTTGAAAAAAAAAAAAATTAAAAAAAAAAAATAAATAAAACTAGTAGAGTTAACATACAGTGTTATATTAGTTTCAGATGTACCATATAAAGATTCAATACTATACATAACTTATCGCTCATCAAGATAAATGTATTCTATATCCCTTTCACCTATTCCCCCATCTCCCCCTGCCCCCCCTCCCCCCCCCCCGTAACCATGTGTTTGTTCTCTACAGTTAAGAGTCTGTTTTTTGGTTTGTCTCTCTGTCTTTGCTTTTTTCCTTTGTTTGTGTTGTTTCTTAAATTCCACGTGTGAGTGAAATCATACAGTATTTGTCTTTCTCTGACTCATTTGGCTTAGCATTATACTCTCTAGCTCCATCCACGTTCTTACAAATGACAAGGTTGCGTTTTGTGCGGCCGAAGAATATTCCGTTGTATATATACAACATCTTCTTTACCCATTCATCTGTTGGTGGACACTTGGGCTGCTTCCGTAATTTGGCTATTGTAAAGAATGCTGCATAAACATGGGGTGTATAGAACCTTCTGAATTGGTATTTGTGCATTCTTTGGGAAAATGCCTAGTAGTGCGATTGCTGCTTCACATGGTAGTTCTATTTTTAATTTTCTGAGGACACTACATACTGTTTTCTGCAGTGGCTGCACCAGTCTGCATTCTTCCCGATGGTACACGAGGGTTCCTTTTTCTCCACGTCCTTGCCAACATTTGTTATTTCTTGTGTTTTGGATTTTAGTCATTCTGAAAGGTGTGAGGTGATGTCTCATTGTGGTTTTGATTTGCATTTTCCTGATGGGAGTGATGTGGAGCATCTTTTCATGTGTCTGTTGGCCATCTGGATTTTTTTTTCTTTCAAATTTTCATTCAGATTCTAGTCAGTTAACATATAGTGTGATATTGGTTTCAGGAGTAGAATTTAGTGATTTATCATTTACATATAACACCCAGTGCTCAACACAAATGCCCTCCTTAATAGCCCATCCCCAACCCAACTTCCCTCCATCAACCCTCAGTTTGTTCTCTGTAATTAAGAGTCTCTTACGGTTTGCTTCCCTCTCTGTTTTTTTTTTCTCCTTCCCCTATGTTCATCTGTTTTGTTTCTTAAATTCCACATATAAGTAAAATCGTATGGCATTTGTCTTTCTCTGACTCATTTCGCTTAGCATAATATACTCTTACAAATGGCAAGATTTCACATCATTGCAGATGGCAAGATTTCATTCTTTCTGATCGCTGAGTAATGTTCCATTGTGTATATACACCCCATCTTCTTTATCCATTTATCAGTCAATGGGCATTTGGGTTCTCTCCATAATCTGGCTATTGTTGATAAGGCTGCTGTAAACACTGGGGTGCATGTGCCCCTCCAAATCAGTGTTTTTGTATCCTGTGGGTAAATAATACCCAGTAGTGCAGTTACTTGTCATGGAATAATTCTAATTTTAACTTTTTGAGGAACCTCCATACCGTTTTCCACAGAGGCTGCACCAGTTTTCATTCCCATGAACATTGGAAGGGATTTCCCCTTTCTCCACAACCTTGACAATATCTGTTGTTTCTTGTGTTGTTGATTTTAGCCATTCTGACAGGTGTAGGGTGGTATCTTATCATGGTTTTGATTTGTATTTCCCTGATGATGAGTGATGTGGAGCATCTTTTCATGTGTCTGTTAGCCATCTGAATGTCTTCTTTGGAAAAATGTCTATTCATGTCTTCTGTCCATTTCTTAATCAGATTGTTTGTTTTGGGGGTGTTGAATTTGATAAGTACTTTATAGATTTTGGATACTAACCCTTTATCCGATATCTCACTCACAAATATCTTCTCTAATTCTGTAGGGTGTGTTTTAGTTTTCTTGATTGTTTTTTTCAGCTGTGCAGAAGCTTTTTATCTTGATGAGGTTCATAGTTCATGTTGGCTTTTGTTTCCCTTGCCTCTGGCGATGTGTCTAGTAAGAAGTTGCTCTGGCCAAGGTCAAAGAGATTGCTGCCTGGGTTCTCCTCTAGGATTTTGATGGTATCCCATTTCACATTTAGGTCTTTCACCCATTTTGAATTTATCTTTATGTATGGTGTAAGAAAGTAGTCCAGTTTCTTTCTTCTGCATGTTGCTGTCCAGTTTCCCCAACACCATTTGTTGAAGAGACTGTCTTTTCCCCATTGTATATTCTTTGTCGTTTGTCAAAGATTAATTGACCATATAATCATGGGTTCATTTCTGGGCTTTCTATTCTGTTCCATTGGTCTGTGTGTCTATTGTTGTGCCAGTACCATACTGTTTTGATTACTACAGCTTTGTAGTATAACTTGAAGTCCAGAATTATGATACCTCCTGTTTTGTTTTTTGTTTTCAAGATTGCTTTGGCTATTTGGGGCCTTTTGTGGTTCCATACACATTTTAGGATTGCTTGTTCTAGATCTGTGAAAAATGCTGTTGGTATTTTGATAGGGATTGCATTACCTCTGTAGATTGCTTTGGGTATTATAGACATTTTAACAATATTTATTCTCTAATTCATGAGCATGGAATGTTTTTCCATTTATTTGTGTCTTCAATTTCTTTCACCAATGTTTTATTATTTTCAGAGTATAGGTCTTTCACTTCCTTGGTTAAGTCTATTCCTAGATATTTTATTATTTTTGTGTAATTGTAAATGGGACTGTTTTCTTAATTTCTCTTTCTGCTTATTTATTATTAGTGAATAGAAATTCAGTAGGGACACCTAGGTAGCTCAGTCAGTTAAGCATCCAACTCTTGATTTCAACTCAGGTCATGATCTCACAGTTCTGTGTTTGAGCCCCACATCTGTGCTGTCAGCACAGAGCCTGCTTGGGATTCTCTCTCTGCCTCTCTCTTAACCCTTCCCCTGGTCTCTCTCTCTCTCTCTCTCTCTCTCTCTCTCACACACACACACACACACACACACACACACACATTCTCACTCTCCCCCAAATAAACTTAAAAAAAAAAAAAGAAAAGTAACAGATTCATGTTCATTGATTTTTGTATCCTGCAATCTTATTGAATTCATGTATTAGTTCTAGTAGGTTTTTGGTAAAATCTTTAGGGTTTTCTATGTGTAGTATTATCTCTTCCTTACCAATTTGTGTGTCTTCTATTTCTTTTTCTTATCTGATAGCTATGGCCAGGACTTCCAGTACTATGTTGAATAAAAGTGGTGACAGTGGACATCCTTGTCTTGTAACTGACCTGAGAAGAAAAGCTCAGTTTTTCTCTCCATTGAGGATGATATTGGCTGTGGGTTTTTCTTATATGGACTTTATTATGTTGAAGCATATTCCCTCAAAATCTACTTTCTTGAAGGTTTTTATTATGAATGGATGTTGTATTTTGTCAGATTCTTTTGCTGCAACTATTGAAAA